GGGGTTTCTTTGGTTCACTGCAGTAAGACTGATCTTCCTTTATCCTCCCCCTGTCTCACCCACATAATGTCAGCTGTAAGGAATGGCTTCTGCCAGCTGTATATTTGTTTTACTGGGAGTAATATTTAAGTATTTGAAGACAGGCTTAAAATATCAAACTCAAGTTCACTAAAAAAAAAACAAAAAAGGCAACATACTTACACTTTCTTGAAAACACAGGGTTAGTTGAGGAAAATAAAGTTTTATGAATTTCCTGTCCTCAACCCACAGATTGCCACTTTCTCTGTGTTGAACTCAGACAGGCAGAAGGAATTGTTTGGCAAAAAGTATTCTGTGTTGAAAATTTGCATATTATATGCCTGTGTGTACATAAAATATTAATTAGTCTGACTTCATATACATCTACCTATGTGAATTTTGTTAAATATTTGAAATACTCATAGAAGACCAAGTGGAGGCATTTTTCTTCTGTGAAAACTGAGCAAATATGGGATGGATATTTTAAGGATATTGTCACTCACCGGAAGCTTGTGCTGGAAGGGACATCTGCTAACAGTTCTTCATGTCACCAAAAACATTATCACAAAGTATCGAGTTAGAGGGTAATTCCCACTTTTGTCAGACACCAAAACACGGAGGAAGTACTGTGAGTCCATATGGCCACCCTTACCCTTTGCTTTCTCGATTCACAGCCTGCGACATGAATGTTCACAAGCAATGTGTAATAAATGTTCCCAGCCTCTGTGGAATGGATCACACAGAGAAGAGGGGGCGGATTTACCTGAAGGCTGAAGTCACTGATGAGAAGCTCCATGTCACAGGTAAGGCGTGCTTGTCCAGGAGCAGCATTTTTAAGGTCAAGGTTCTGTCAGTGCAGGGTGGGCCCTGGCCTAGATGCCTTGAGTCCTCGCGAAGCTTTTATAATGACTGAATTGTCACTATCTTTAAGCCCAGCAGATGTGAGTTAACACATCTCCAGGAGACTGGTCTCTATACACTAATTCCCAAAAACTCGATGTCATACAAAGTCACAATCACTGTGGATTGGGGTACTCTGACAGCATGATCAGTGCACTTTCCCTCCAACGACAGGGGAGCAAGGAAGCCAGTTTATCCACATGCTATTGTTGAGAGAAGAACTAGGGCAGGGAAGGGGATGGATGGAGGATCCAGATGTTCACTAGTGTTGGGCCACGACAATCTGATGAATCCACCTGGATGATAGTGACAGCCACAGGCTGCGGGCGTATTCTTCCCCTGTGTTAGGCATGGTGTTGAAAATTTCAGTCCTCACAACTACCTGATTGTTAGCCTCATTTTCCAGAAGAAGAAACTGAAGCATAGAGATACGGTAATTGATACCATTGCAGTTAGGGAGCAGCCAGGACTGAAAGGAAAGCATTATACTCCAGACCCTTCCTGCTGATTATCACACCATGTGTACCTCCTACAAATGCCCAGACTCAGATCAGAGTTCCCTGTCTGTGGTCCAGGATGCTCCCCTCTGGGGCGGTGACTGGCTGTGCGCCACTGTATACTGGTTTTTCCCACCAAATCATACATCAACACACTCAAGCTCAAGTTATCCTGGTGCCTTAGTGGTCTGGGACCTATCCTGTACCTTCAACTTGTTTTGACTTTTCTGTTGCATGACCCATTCCATGTTGATTCATGGCTTACATCAGACATCAACCTTGTTTCCCTGCCCTCAGGGCTTCCTCTTGAACCACTCACATGCTTGTTCTTTGGCAAATATGTTTATTTTTGTCTGATCAACAAAGGTATTTATATTTTCATTTTTATTTAAAGATTTGAAGCTGTCATACATGTTGAGTAAATTGACTTTAATGTTACTTGTTCGTAAACAACAGAAGATATCCTGAAAGAAAGGCTGGATGCCGTCTGTTTAAGAAAAAAAGGAAGGGGGAAGAGTTCTAGGGAAAGCTTACTCTGGAAAACATCTTCACTTTTTTAAATTAAGCACCTTTCTACTCAGTGCTGTCCTCTCAGGTAAGAATGCAGAGAAACCAAACAAAGGATTTTGAGGCATTTCTAGGAGAGAGGCAACATAGCTCACCAGTGGGTAACCTCATGGAACAAACTAGCTGCAGCTAATTGACAAGATGGAACTGTGCATGAAATCCTTAGGCTAAGACCCTCTTTTGACTTTTGTGTTTTAGAGAAATTCCTTTTTTTCCTATCCACTCCTGTTGTACCCTTGCATTTGGTGCTATGGTTGTTACTTACATGTCCTTTTAATTCCGCTGCGGTCACTGGAGTGCACTCTGCCCTTCTCTCTCCTGATAGCAAGGCCCCTCAGACTGGCACCCATGCTCTGTAGGCACCATACCCAGAGGATGTATGGCTCCATGGGGACCACAAACTTGGCCTTGAGAGCATTTTCAATATCACAGCCCCTCTCTCGTTTCTCTCTCTCTCTCTTCTGTTAAGGCTCCTGCATTGTCAAATCTGTGTACTGGGGGCAGAGAGCATGCAGCGTAGGAGGAAATTGCCATAAACATAGTGTCCATAGGTGGTAAAGGAGTGATGAGCACAACTTAGAACATCTAGTGGCTAAACACTGCTATGCCTTTCCTTACCTTTTCCTCTATTTCCAGTGCCATCCGTGTTGGCAGTTGAATACACATCACAGGTGAATAGTCAGTTTAATTATGGGATATAAATGTGACAGGGACTGACTTTCTGTAAGGCAAGAATGCCTGCACAGAGTTTTTTAATGTTTAGCTATTGTTCAGTGTGTTTCCAGATAAATCAAAACGCACAGAGCCTGCTGGACTTGCCCTGTCCTTTCTCCTGAAAAAAAAGCAGCAGTCACGTGGTGCTGCCTGAGTCATCCAGTCTCTTCTGTAAGTTCCAGCAGACTTGCAGATGTAGAAGTACACAGAGAGGCACAGGCACCCTGGCCGAGATGGCACATGGGTGAAAGAGCAAGGTCAGCTCCCATCGTCCTAGGGTTTTTACCATGCTAATTGCTCCACCTTTGCCAAGAAGTGAGCTTGACTCACAGACATAGAATTATCTCAAGGGATCTTATCTTTCACTGAGTTGGACATGGGTTTCACACATGAAAACTAACCAGCAACCAGTACTGCTCTGCTCACTGCTGCTATGTAGGTCATGTCTCCTGAGAATTAGTTAAAAACGTTTAAAATAGAAATATAGACATGTTAAGAACATGAACGCAGCAATCATTTAATAATAATGCCTTATTCCATTCAGACTGTTACAAAATGCCTTAGACCGGATAATTTATACATAATAGAACTTTATTTCCCATAGTTCTGGAGGCTGAGAAGATCAAGGCACCAACAGACTCAGTGTCTGCTGAAGGTCACTCTCTGCCTCATACACGGCACCTCTTGCTTCATCCTCACACGTTGAGGGGAGGAAGGCTATGCCTCCATATGGCAGCGGCCACAGACCCCCTCCATTTAGCCTCTTTTTTATAAGGGTGCTAACCACCTACATGAGAGTGAAGCCATTGTAACTTAGTCCTTTCCCAAAATATTTCCCTTTTAGCACTGTCACTTGGGGAGGATACCAATATTCAGATCATAGCAAACAATAACAGCAGCATCAGTTAACACTGTGATTTCCATAAAAAAGCAATATTTACAGGTGAGCTTATCTAACAGGTTCCTGCCAGCATGTAGAGCTGCCTAGCAGCAAGACAGAAATATGGCCTCATCGTGAGTATCTATGAAGACACTGACTATCATGCTCACTTTATAGATGAAGAAACTGAGGCATAATGAAATGAATTTATTTGCAAAATGGCAAATTTAATGGTTAAATATTTTAATTATATTTTATTGATAGTACCAATAAAAATTGGAATTTGTTTTTTAAGTGTGGTTACTGGACTAGAGGGTTTAGCTCAGTAGCAGAGCACTTGCCTCACATGCCCAAGGCCTTCACTTGGGTTCCATCTTCAGCACCACAAAAATTTTTTTAAAGTTAAATAATTTGTGTGAAAGAATTCTAATTTTAAATACAGAATGTCAAATTCAACAAAATAACTAATGAGTAATAATATCTTGAGAACTTTTCATTTGAAGTAATTACATATTTTCAGAAAAGTTACAGAAGTAGTATCCAGTCCCTGGCACCCGCATCCCTGATGTTAGTATCCTGGCATCAGGAAAGTTTAAGTATTAAGGTCATCCTATTTGTAATTAGTATCTGATATATTTCTGAAAAGTAGTACCTGTGCTCATCACTGGGTATTGCTTTATTGTTTCTTTATTTTATGAAACAAAATTCCACAACAAAATAAGAAAATAACAGTAGTCAATACACTGCATATTTTTATCTTCAAAGCAGTTACGCAGAGTACAAGACATCAATGCAAAGTTTCTGTCTTACAAAGAGACATATATTAGCACAAAACTTTCTTTCCAATATACTAAGAGAAACTAGTATTATGAATGAAACAAATTAGCATATGTATTAAAATATTTTTGAAACATGGAATGGATAGTTTGGGGAACCATCTGAAGTTTTCCCCATTCCTATCCACCTAGCTCCCATTTACCCCATTTGCATAGATATACTTTGAGTTTCTCACCTAAGAGAAACCATGCCATATTTAAGCTTGTGTGTCTAACTTATTTCACTTAACATTATGTTCTCGCTCAGAATTGTTTTGAAGAGCAAAATGGAAGACATCATACTTAACGTTATTCCAGTGTAAAAGAACTGCAGAGTACACCAAGTGAAACCCAGTAGAGCAGTTCTGTCACACAGGTGGCATTCCCTCCTCTTCCCTGTCTGTACCTCTTCCCCAGCAAATATTTCAGGCAAGGGTTGGTCGAGAAATGTTTTTGATAACAGTAGCTAGCGTTCAATGAGGACCTACTGTGCACTTACCATTCATAGAACTTGACCTTTCTTTGTGCTGAGTTCCTGTGTTCATTGTTTTATTGACTCCTCACACTGCATCTTAAAATTAAGTACTATTATATCTTCACTTTTTAGAAGAGCCAAGGAGCTGAGAGAAGGAAGGAAATTGCTCCAAGTCATGGGGTAGAAAGTGATGGAATAGGGCTGGAGCCCAGGTCTGTCTTTCAGTGCCATGGCTTTGAACCTTCTAAGTCGTGTATTAGGGAGAATCTCCTTTTGAATGAATAGTAAACCCCTACTCGGCATTATATGAGATTGTCTGAGGGTACAGAAAGTCTAAATTTGGGATTTGAAAGTAGGGGGACAGAGTCTGGCGGGAGCTACAGCGCGGCGCTGAGCTGGAGTCCGCAGTGGCTGTGGGGATGGAGGCTCATCATTTTCCCCGCCCTGCGGCTGGGCTGGGTGCAGCAGTGGCAGCAGCCGAGGGGGATGGAGCGAGCTTGGGGCCGGGTCAGAATTGAACAATGACTGTAGTTGACAAAGTTGAATCTTCAGATCTCTCAGACTGTCACAATTGGCCTGGCAGTTGCGATGCTGTCTCACCTGGAGACATGGATGTGGGCTCCGCCGTCTGGGGTGCTGTGTCTACACTGAGTGATGTTTCCAGGCACGCACTTTCGTGAGGACGGGTACCCGGTGCTGTCTATTCAAATCCGGCTGTGCCTGATAAAATCAGAGCTGTCACCACAAAAGGAGCAAGGTTATGCAGAAGGATTTTGTATGATGTGTACAATGCAAGTGCATATTACCCAGGCATTCAATAATCTTGGGGATGTTATTAAACCCATGTTGGTCGTCAATGAAATGCAGTGTAGAGGAACTTTAGTTTTGGAAACTAGGAAGAGGCCCATGAATTTCTTCAGTACACTGTTGATGCTGTGCAGAAAGCATGCTTGAA